GCCAAAATTTGTAAAAGTATTTCAGCGAAAGTTACCAGGAACTTCTTCAGAGTGGACTGTGTCACTGTTTCTTTTCGGAGTTATGCTCTCAGGATCTCTGGTGCGCACTATGGTTAAATTCGGATTCTTCGGTCATTTATGCCCGAAGAAAGAAAATGCATGGCGTATCTGTAAATGAACATGAACTTGTGGTCGACTAGCACGGTATTAGCAAGAAAGTCCTATTTTAATAATCGCTTCAATGGAGACCCTGATTCTCCAGGTAGATGTTTACTCCTTCGGGACAATCAAGCACTTCTCCTAAGGATCCCAAATATCGCCAAATTATTTAGTCAAAACAAGGTCTTGATCGAAAAATACAATAACCGATGCACATAACTCGCTACGAATAAGTATCGGTCAGTAGAGCACAAGTCTAGCATATGCTAGTCTACGAGCTATAGTCACACTGTCAGTTAACCGAAAGGCGTCTTCCTCGTCATATGCTCAAGTGGCAATAGAGTCTAATGTCCTTAGAAAAGGGTCAATTTCTGTGCCAAAAACAGCCATTATTGAGCTTATTAAAGTTGATGTCATCGCAGTAAAGGCATAACAGGCGACGTTAGACCACCCAGTAACCGTAAATATACGAAGAGCAGGACACAAAATGAACTATATAAATGGACTAATTCTATCATTTTCACACTACCAGTTCCGGTTTTTTCATTGTTCCCAATGAGCGATTTTAGCACACATGGAAGAAAAAAACATGCTCACATATTTGATACATTTCATCTGTGGAAAGCGCACTCATTTACGAAAAATAAGTAATATGCTGTAGCTCACAGAAGTTTGGAGTGGATGCAAATTATAAAACACTGCGTAGACTGGTTTTGTCATGTTTATTTTCCTGAACGTGAGTGAGATTTCGGTCAACACCTCCAAAGCACTGACAATTCATCAGTTTTTTCGGCAATTTATTTGAAAAAACCCGAACTACTGCCGACTATCACACTGTCTACATAAAAACACTATGAATCAGACCAAAGCAGCTTTATGGCAGAATGCGATGGAATAAACTGAAATGTACAGAAATTGCTACAGGTCTTGCGGGTATGTGTACTGTTTTAACCAAAAACCGTGTGCCGATGTCTGCTTGGAAATAGCCTTCTTTATAACTTTCGGTTGAGGTGTAGGGCACTTTAGACGATTTTCAACCTGGGTAGGGCGCGGTCGAATGTACATGCTGTACTTGTGTAATTTGCAGATCGATGCGTTTTGACAGATGATGCACTGTGGTCAGAGCAGTAGAAATAATGTTCAACGGGGCTACAAAAGCAACATGAAATTTATTTTGGAGTATTGTTCTTTCCCTATTAAGTAATTTGCTCTTACCACCCTCTCCTGTGCTCAAAGCTGACCGTCTACCGATAAAATCGCAATGGCAGAGCCTAATCGAGAGGGGGTCCATTGACCAAAGTATCACTGATCTCAGCTGTTTAACTGGGCCTGATTATCCCACCGACATACGTGCATTTCGAAGGGA